GTTAAAGCTATGGTTTTTCCGGTAGCGATGTATGGAAGTGAGAGCTGGACCATAAAGAAGGCTGACCGCTGAAGAATTGATGCTTTTGAATTGTGGTGCTGGAGGAAAGTCCCCTGGACTAAAAAGAGAACAAACCTATCTATTTTGAAGGAAATCAACCCTGAGTGCTCACTGGAAGGACAGATCCTGAAGCTGAGGCTCCAATACTTGGGCCATCTCATAAGAGAAGACTCCCTGGAAAAGACCCTAATGTTGGGAAAGTGTGAGAGCAAGAGGAGAAGGAGATGACAGAGGACAAGACGGTTGGACAGTGTCATCGAAGCTACCAAGATGAATTTGACCAAACTCTGGGAGGCCGTGGAAGACAGGAGGACCTGGCATGCTCTGGTCCATGGGTCACAAAGAGTTGGACATGATGTAACAACTAAACAACATATGTAGCCGTAGGACGATTCCTTACTTTTTTCTTGTTGTGACATGTTTGGGCAAATACTGTTTTCTCATCAATGTTGACAAAGTTCTTCCTATTATACTCTCTTTTCTTTTAAATTGCATTTTAAAATCCATATTTTGCCATTGAGACATAGAAGTGCACACATTTCAGACAATATGCTTCTGCACCAGTACTTTAAATGTGCGCTGGAGTAGTCATCTTCCCATTATAAATATCTTGATTAAAATATACAGCCAGAACAAATTCCAATTCAACAACAGAAACAAAAAACAAAAAACACAAAATACATTGCTCTTGTTTCATAGTAAATTCTATTTTTCCAAAAGAAACTGAATGAAACTAGGCAAAACAGATGGTTGTGGGAAGATGGCAAATTAATGCAACAGTTCCCCCTGCTGTTTAAATACAAAAACTACTTCTTTGCTTGGCTCTCAAGCTCTTGCTATAGAAATGATAAGCACCAGCAGTCAAGCCATGCTGTTTACATATTTACTTCCCCTCCCAAAAATATCCCCCTGCAGTTCCTGAAAACTGGCTAAAGGGCATCAAGCAACTCTCTGCAGTGGCTTTGGGGACAGCTGTCAAACCTGCCAAGCACAAAACCTGCTTACATGATGAGATTATTAGATCCAAATAATTGCCAATGATTCTAGTTCTAGTTGGGCATCCTTCAGTCTCGAAAGACTATGGTATCGTGCTCTGTATGGAGGACTTGGAACAGCATCTAGTGTGGCTGAGGGGGCCAATTTGAGAGTGACAATCCCTTCCACACTGAAGACAAATCCAATCTGTCCCGTCCAGCTCCCTGATTTTGCTGCTTTTGTGACTTCCTCTTTGCCCCGGGCCTGCTGCACAAGGGTCTCTTCAAAATGGGAGAGGTTGTGATGCAACGCCTGCCTCCAGGCTGAACGCTCAGATGTCAGGGTTTCCCATCTGTTGAGGTCCATTCCTAAGGCCTTCAGATCCCGCTTGCAGATGAAAAATACCAGCAAAAGCAAGACCAACAACACTATTTTTGTGGTGTTCTATCTTAAACCACACTAAGCCACACTAGGCGCTGTTCCAAGTCGTCTATTCAGAGCATGTTACCATAGTTACTTGAAGGATGCCTAATCAATCTTAAACCAGAGACACAGAGGAAGGAGGAAATGAAAAGTATTCAAGATTTTAAATTGCTATTATTTTAAGGAAATAATTACACACAAAGTGAACTTAAAGAAGTATGGTAAAGGAGGTTTCTAGAGGAGGCGCCCTAGGGTGAAATTACACAAATCATATAACTTTTGGAGGTAAATTACTTCAAGAGGATATGGGCCATTATATTCCAAGTTAAGAAAACATCATAGACATTATAACTTGCATTCAGAGTCACACAATTTAGTATGCAACAGATAATGTCTATGGCGGTTTCTTAAATTAAACCAATTCACCTCCAAAAGTTATACCATTTGTATTATGGCAGTATAAGTAGGCAAGAGGATTTGCGCTATTATATTCCATACATTTAAAACTTTACTGATTTGGGTCTAGACTTGCAGTTAGTGGAGATTTATTATCATTGGAGTGGGAGGCAATTTTAAAGAAACATTGCATGACTGATTGGTTGACTGACTGACTAATTAATTATTCTTCCTTTCTCTAGTAAGGGTTCCAGGGCTGGTCACAATATATTTAAAGAAAAGATAGAGTTAAAATATTATGGGCAGAACTCCGTTCATTCTTTTTCTTATGGAACAGTTCATTGCATGACCAGCTGGATGTTTTCCAAGCTTCCACAAGGTGCTACTGAATGCCTCCTTGCATAAAGCTGGAAATTGTCCAAGTGCTAAAATAATAGATAGTTGCGCTAGCAGGAGGAAAGTATAGTATATTGCCCTGTGTTATAATATGGAAACACAATCAAATAGATTGTTATATTAAAACCATCACCTAGGAGAACCAGTTACAACACAAGCCCACAACACTTACCTCTCGGAACGCAGAACACCACTATAATATGGGTGATCCCAAGGCATCAGTTTCTGAAACAAAAGCATCCATGTTTTAAAGTACACTAGAGAAATAAAGTGATACAAGCTCTCTCTTCATAACAGCATTGCATCTCTATTATTGAGACTATCATAACCCATCCACTGTACAGAGGAAACCTCTTGAAGTGTGAAAGTTTTGGCTATTATTAATGTTAAAATATAACCTCAAACCTCCAAAGCATTAAAAAACAGAAATAAAATTCAAAACAAGAATGATATAATAAGCCAATTAAACACTAGACTCCTTTCCCTCTGAGAAAAGATATTGAAACACAATCCTGCTATAAAAAGAAGTCAAAAGAAAAAAAGGGTAGATTTACTTCAACATGTCTGTGAAACTATAGAGACTATTTTCTCATACTACTGTTCAAATTCAAGCTATGGAGGGTGGGAATATATATCTATAGATATACAGTATATAAAACTTACTGATCTGATAGGATTTAGCTTCATTTTCATGTGATCCAGCATTTCAAAATCCTTTTGGGTTCTACAAAGACATTTTACCATAAAGTTCTGTTAAAGTATGTTTCAAAATATATGTAATACAATAAACAGAACATTATTCTTGCATTATACAACCAAGAAATCACTCAAGGAAAAAAGGAACGAAATGAGCCAAAATGAAGTATGTTATTCCTCCCTTTTTCCATTCTTTCTCAGTAAAAGCTAATGCTGAGCAATATTCAGTGAATACTACCTAACTGCCATTTTAATCACTACAAAACAATTAAGACAATTTGTTCAATTCTGATCTTGATTAGATTTCAGCATTCAGAAACTACATTCCACTTTTAATCAAACATGCTCAAAAATTAAGTTCATTTAGCAATAAGAGTATTAAAACTGCCTTGAAGCAAGGCTTATTTGTTATTCTATTTAATAAGATTTAATTTAAAAAGCAGACGTACCGACTAAATAACTTCTCTGAAAGTTTTATAAGAAACTGCATGACTTTCTCTATAAAAAATAAAGAAAAAAGCTATTAGTGCAGCAAGCAAACAGAACATTCAAGAAAAATGAAAACCATAGATTTCATCTAAAATAAACCAACCTACTGAACAAAGTGTAATTCAGAAGTTAATGTAAACCATAATGCAAAAAAGCTGAATGTAGCGATAATGTATTTTTGGTAATGAAAGAAGCCAGAAACAATTTAAGTTTAACATTTTATCTATAGTTCCCTGTTTTTTGTCAGTCTTTCCCAATTAAGGCAAGACGGAAAACGATATTAATGAAAGGTTGTTTTGGACTTTCTACAGAACACAGCTCGTCATAACTGAATAAACAGAGAAGACCACTGTTATATTTTTCCCAAGTCTTGAAACTGATTGATAGTAGTTAAACTGCAGTGCAGAACTCTTAAGTTTTGAACAAAAGCATTCACTGAAAGGTAACAGTACAGGTCAATTTTAATGTCTGTTAAAAATCCGGCGTAAAGAACATTCATGGACAACAAATATACCAATTAAAAGAATATAAAACAATAATATTGCTTCAACACAATGGTTCTATGTAGTATGCCTTTTATAAACATAATTTATTTACATTGTTAAGTACTAAAACGGCAGTGACGGAAAATCCCATGCAAATTTCATCAGTAATCAGATGCAGCAATTCACAAAGAAAATATTTAACCTCAACTGACTGCATATTTCACACTACTTTCCCCTTATATATATACAGTGGTGCCTCGCTTACCAATGTTACAACCTCAACCGACTGCATATTTCACATTACTTTCCCCTTATATACACACACACACACACACACACAGAGTGGTGCCTCGCTCAGCGATGTTAATCCGTGCAGCAAAAATCGCTGCTAAGCGATAACATCACTAAGCGATTTTTAAAAGTCCATAAAAACGCATTAAAACATGTTTAATGCGTTCCTATGAGCTTAAAAACTAAACGTATCGACTGCATATTTCACATTACTTTCCCCTTATATACACACACACACACACACACACAGAGTGGTGCCTCGCTCAGCGATGTTAATCCGTGCAGCAAAAATCGCTGCTAAGCGATAACATCACTAAGCGATTTTTAAAAGTCCATAAAAACGCATTAAAACATGTTTAATGCGTTCCTATGAGCTTAAAAACTAAACGTATGCGAAAATCCTCCATTGCGGAGGCCATTTTCGGTGCCTCTAAAGTGAGGCAAAACAGCGGGCGGCGATTTTTTTCCCAGCGGCTATTTTGGAACCGCTGATTAGCTGGCTGAAAATGGGGGCTTTGCGATGATCACTTCCTCACGATCATTGCAAAGCGAATTTTCTCCATAGGAAACATCGCAAAGCGATCGCTTTTGCGATTGCAAAAACAGCATCACTAAGTGATTCTGCCATAAAACGGAGCGCTCACTAAGCGAGGCACCACTGTATAGCACTCTTGTTACCTGTCTGAACACCTCTTCCTCAAAACATATACAGTACTCATCGCGATCTTGTCACCTGTCTGAACATCTCTTCCTCAAAACATATACAGTACTCATCTCACCAGCACCTGTTATATGGGAATGCTCCATGTGGTCACCTCAGGGGAGTCCCAGAAGTCATCCACCCACAATCGGGCCTTCTCTCACCTTGGGGGAGTCCTGGAAGTCATCCACCCGCAATTGGGCCTTCTCTGTGGTGGCCTCCTCACTCTGGAATTCCCTTCCACTAGAGGTATAGATAGCCCCATCCCTCTTGGGTTGCAGGAGGCATCTTAAGAGCTAGTTGTTCTTCCAAACCTTTCTCTAGTTCATCCTAAAATAATTTTATGTTCTCCTCTTGGTCCTCCTTCAGTGAAATTTTTATGGCTCTCATCTATCACGGCCCTGGAATTTGGAACTTTCCTTACTGATTTTTTTATTGCTTTCTATTATTCTTATGTTAGGTTGCGTTTTGTCATCGAAGCTACCAACATAAATTTGGCCAAACTCCGGGAGGCAGTGGAAGACAGGAGGGCCTGGCGTGCTCTGGTCCATGGGGTCACGAAGAGTCAGATACGACTTAATGACTAAACAACAACAAAAAGGTTGCGTTTGCCGCCCAGAGTAGTAGCTTTACTACTAGTTGAGAGGGACAGACAAACAAACAAACAACATTCATATTACCTGGGGTTTGGGCCATCGTTCCCTGAAGAGCCCGGTGAGCAAACGTATCATATCCAACTAACTGGGCCAGAAGATGTCTGCAGGTAAGCAATTCCTCTAGACAATTTAGTTGTTGAGCGTTTGGATACAGAAAAACCTTGTAGGCAACTTCCCGTACCTAATTTTAATTTAAATTAAAAGCATCAGATAGGTAGCTACCATAGCAAAGCAGCATAACTAATTAAAAAAACACTTATTTGAGAACTAATATGGTAAATGCAGAAGAGAGGCATTAAACACTCATGCTTTCTCTATTCATATAATATACTAAAGCTTTTTCCTCATCATTAGTTATACCAGTTGGACAGAGTTTAAAAAGGCAGTATTTGCATATTTAGGCAACAGTCCTTCAATCTAAGGTGAAGAGGATTTTTTGCAGACAAAAGGGATCTCTACAAATGGGCACAGTGTCGTCACCACCACCATCTGGTGCTTAGCCCTCTTCATATGTAAAGAACAGAGAAGTCAGCAGCACAGACTTTGCCTGGTAATTCCTGAAGAGAATGGGGCTTTATCCCAAAAGTTCAGGGGGATCTCCCCCTGCCGCCGCCGCACAAATCACCTATGAATAGATTGAAGGAGAGGAAAGTAACCCTGAATACTAGGAATCAAGACTTGTATCTTTGATTGTGAGGCTAACCACGAAGTGACAGTGACAGCCCTCTCATGTTGATAACCATGGCCATATTTCAATAATAAATAAAATGGGAGGAAAAAGTGTGCAACTCAATAAACAGAAGCCATGTACAAAGGAGGATAACTTTTACACTAATGTGTCACCCTACAACCTTGAAAGGAGCAATAAGGCACCCCACCTTTCTTACATGTTCATTTTGATCCTAGAATTAGTCTTCCCTCTTTCACTTCATGTAGTACTGAGGCAGATGCAAGGTCAGAGACACAGGTTTGCACCATGTTTGGGCCAATGTATTTTGCTCGCTGTAGAACAGCTCACAGGTAAAGACATCATTTCTAAGGCTACTCCTGCATGTTGCTAAATTACTATCTTTATACACAACATATACAGTGGTGTAACATGGAGTAGCTTTGTTGTAAATGATAAAATATACATTGAGATCTACTTTTCAATGTCTGTGATTTGCAGTATATGAGCAAGTGTTTGCAGCATATCAGCAACAGCAGCAACAATTAAAAGCCCCTCCCCATTAATCTACTGAAAAAGAACATTTGGAGGAAAACAGAAGTGATTTTCTGTCTAGGAGACCTTGTGAGCTTCTGCGACTAACCACAAATATTTGGATCAAACTTGTCATCAGAAACATCCTGGTATTTAATTAATTACATATGTCCACCTAATTAAGCCACGACTCTACATCTGGCTTAAAATGAAAGAAAGAAAGAAAGAAAGAAAGAAAGAAAGAAAGATCTCACAAACCTCATGTCTGCACACCCTTCTGTAATATGGTTAATATAACTATATAATGTAACTTAAAACATACCAGATCATCTGGACTATCTGCACTGAGACTACTGATTTGGGCATAATCGCCTTCAGTTGCAAAGTTATGGCGAATATGTTCTGGCAAAATGTGCTTGTCAATCTTGTTGGGAAGATGAGCTCCAATAAGAAATTGATGACATAAATCCAGTATTTTCACATTGAGATTTACTGCCCTCTTGCGCTGCAAATGGGAAACACACAAAATAGACAGTTTTCAAAAAATTTGCTTCTGATAAGACTTTAAAAGTTTCACTATGTTGAAGACTGTACTTTCATGAGAGCAACAAACTCATACAATAGTCACTGAGACAATTCCATTACTCCATGTGAGATTAAAATGTTGGGAAACTGACACAACAGAATGTTAGATTTAGTGCTTAATAAGACACTACTGTTGGTAAAGATCACTTTTACTGATGTTAAAGATCAGCTGTGGAACCAGCTACCATTAAGAAACTAAAGACCTAGTTCTTTCAGTAGGCATTTCAAAATATACTATCCACAAAGCCCATCTAACCTGTTGCTAAAGCCGAAATATTATAAGAGTGCTGCCAATTTAAACGCTCTAGTTGTTATTTAGAACACTGTAGAATGTATTTTTATTGTCTGATTATTCCTTTTAATATATAGTTGTATTGTTTTTCGGATTTTTGGCTGTTCATTATTGTTTTATCCTATGCTGTAAACCACCTAGAGTGGCTTTAAGCCAAATGAGAGGTACACAAATAGAATAAATAAGAAAGAAATAAGTATTGTATAAATGTTGTTTATTGTCATTAACAAGAAGATATCATTTCATTGATTGGGTTAATTAAACAAGTTTCTAAATGCCTCCATCAACATTTCCTTAAAGGGGAAATCATTACCTGTTCATCATCCAGGTGAATACCACTGATCTCAAAATCAAACATGAAAAGTTCTGCCACTCGCCTACAAAAACAAAGACCTTCTTTAAGAAAAAAAATAATTGTAAGAAAAATATTGCTATAGTTCCATGTTTTCTAAAAATACATTACATTTTGTAAAGTGTTGTTTTGCAGATCAGGTACTAGTGTGTAAGTTGAAAGAATTATCACTCTTATCTTGTACGTATCTACTCAGGTATTCTTCTTTGTTCAATGGGTCTTATTCCTATGGTAAAGTGTTAAAGATTGCAGCCTATTTGATCCTTTGACCAAAAGGATCATATATCAGCGCTACACTCCGGGCTGCAAGTCTACCTCATGAAAATCAGTTCCGTTTTACTGTTTGCTGCAGACAACACACATTTTTATGGTTGTTTGATAGAAGGTTGTTTAAAATTATGCTGTACGTTAGCCAATCCTAAGAATTTTTTACACTAAATTGAATAGAACACATGCCCAAGTAAACATGCATAAAATGTAGCCTTGGGATGCAATCCTAACCAGCCAAGATTCCTAAGGGCTGCGAAGATGCCATTATGCCGGCTGAAGCTGTGTTGAATCCAAACCCCTCCAAGCTAGGGAAGATGGGTATGTGTTGGCATAGTGACAGCTCCTCCCCTTCTTTATGCTCAGTTTATTGGCTCTTTTGCTGGCTGATCACAACTCCCTTGTCCTGGAACAAAGGGCAACCATAACTCACTGCAAGCCCACTTCCCTTTGAGTCCATACTGTACCGCCTATCATCAGATAATGATTTGCTGCTGGGAAAAAAAAGTAGAAATTCCCACTCGGAGCAATGGAACATCATTCTTACAAAAAATACTCCTAACATCTTCTCCTTAACTAACTTCTGGAACTAATTACTTTTGAAAGAGATAAAAATCCAAACTGACTAGGTCTTTCAGTAGCTATAGGCAACCACCATGTTCACAGATAAAACAAGTGTTAGTGTAGATTTATTTCATTTACCAAGATATGGATATCCAATGTGGTGCACTGGTAAGTTGTAAGGGGGACCTGAGTCTGAATGCCCACTCAGTTACAGAAACTCATGGCAGGGAGTTTCTGTAAATATCTTGCTTACCTTGAAAGCCCCATGTGGGGAGACTGATGAAACCACTCCCTAAATATCTTGCTTACCTTGAAAGCCCCATTAGAGCATATAACATGCAAGCACAACAACGAAATATGGATGTTATCATGCCTTGCTTGCAAACATTGTACCACACAGACAATTAGTCTTGGACTTAGTCAACCGCAGCAATAAGCACAAGGGAAATATGGGGATGTATTGTAGGAGAAGGAAGAAACAAGGTGTTAAGCCAGATCCTTAGACAAAAAAAGAAGTCTAAAGAGATTTATATTTAGGGAGTAAAGCCTGACAAACAAGAAACTGGCACAGAAATTTACTTCAGTTTCACAGGAAAGAAGAAATCTGGATACAGAACAAACTTTCAAGTCACATGATTACACAAGTATGTTATGTTCCATCAAGTCACGTCCGATGTTTGATTATTCTAACAGGATTTCCGAGATATGTCAGATATTTAAGGATATTTTCTGCTGTTATTGCCTCTATAGCCAAGTATGGATTCGAACCCAGGTCTTTTAAGTCCTACTCCAACGCTTTATCCACTGTACTACACTAGTTCTGATGTTGAGGCTCACTCTTTGCCAAAAGAGTGAGCTTCAACACAAGCACAGACCATCAAATTGTTTCAGTCCTCCTGTAAAAATGTTCACCCTGATTGAAAGATTGGAATAAACAATGAATGTAAAAATACTATACATTCTGAAAACTGTTTTCACAACATTCTGAACAATATACATTCCATCATAAAGTATGCTGATCTATCAAACTGTTGACCTGTTTGATAGTAAATAGCTATTGGAACAAAATTATTATCATGAGTACCTTGTTTCTGAATCAAGGGAAGCCATAACATTTTTATCAGCCAACAATTTTCTCAGACTTTGACACAAGTCTACATCTGTATTTAATCTGAAAATATGAAAGTTAAAAGAACCAATTATTTTGAATACAAGAATTTCTTTATGCTTACTATTTCTATACTTTTGCTATGTCTAATAAAATAAGTAAACCTACCCTCAGATACCACAGAAACTGAATAGGACTAGCAGTTCAATCAGAAATACTTGTTCACTGAGGTAGATGCTATCCTATTCATAATCTGTAAACTTTCAATGGACAATATTGTCCAGGGGGTCTTCCACACTAGTTTTAGTGCAAAACTGCCTACTCACTTTCTACAGAGTATTCACACAACATTAGCACACAAGAAGCGCCTTCTGTTTTTTCCCTGCAGTTCTTCCATCTTCTCTCACACAAAGAAAGTTCAAACTTTTTTGGAAAAATGAAATACCCTGTTTCTCTGAAAATAAGACCTAACCTGGAAATAAGTTTTCAGGATGCTCCTAATATAAGCCCTACCCCAAAAATAAGCCCTAGTTAACCGAAAGCCCACCCTCCACCATTGTGCAGCATTGTGCAATAACCAGAAGATGACATAACTGAAAAAAAAATAAAACATCCCCTGAAAATAAGCTCTAATGCATTTTTGGAGCAAAAATTAATATAAGACTCTGTCTTATTTTCGGGGAAACACAGTAGTGACATACATACAGGTACTTTTAGTGTAACTGTTACATCTATCTAAAGGGGCAGGATTTTGACTGATACAGGGCCCTGCCGTATCAGAATGGTGTACTTACTGCCGCTGAGCACTAATATTTCACTGTCATTTCTCCAGTCTGTGCCACTTTATCATCCTCAGTTATTTATCTTTATAGAAATTTTAATAACCACTAAAATAGTCTGCTGGCTGTTCTAAAAAAATTAAAATACATACACAATAGCATTACAATTTAGTAAGTGCTATAATATTAATTGGATTTCTCAAAAAGAGTCTCCATGGAGACAAGAAAGTCTACATCCCTACAAATGGCTAATAAAGGTTAAAAGGCACCCAATATGGACCTTGTTGCGGTAAGCATTCTTTGCAGCCATCTTACTAGTCATCTTCAGAGATGCAGTCCTTTTTCATACATGTCAATGGAAATGGGAGGTTTCCATTTGTGTGGGAAAGAGAAGGTGTGGAAATGTGGTCTTTGCCTCCAAAAGCCATTTTCAGGGACGGAGTCTGACTGATATAATGAATAAAACATACTTTTCTACCATAGTACCAATACTTCTGCAGGCTTCCTCAGCAGCCTCTCTGAAAGCAGGATCAGGATGGGCAATTTTCACAAAATCAGCCTGGTATAGCAGAAAAACAAAGTACAAGAATAAAGTGAAGAAGTTGTTTTGGTATTCAAAGAAAATTTGGAAAATCTAGCAAACTTCATACATACTTAAGTTGGCATGTGAATATTTTTGCACAAAAGTGTATTTCTCCTTCCCCATTGCAAACTCTACACCCACAAAATCTGGTGGAGAGCTGAAGGAGAATGTAAGTGAAATAATGGGCTTTGTAATTCGTAACTATAAAACCATACATAAACGATTCCTCATTGACAGTTGATAGTTGTCACAGAGTACTGTACATGTTATACAATCCCAGTTAGTTTCAATTAGCTTGCTGAATTCTTACTGCAGACACCTTCATAAGCCAACAAAGGAAAGCAAGTGCTTTCAGAAGCATTTATAAAGCTTCCATGCCGGATTCTTCTGCAGACACAGAAGTTAGGAACCATCTAACCTCTCTGGTAAGAAAATATTAGGGTTGTGTGGCATCAAACAAACTCAAGAGAATTTGTTTCTTTTCTTTTTTTGCATGTACTGATATATATTAAATATCAGTCAAGATTAGTAAGTCTATATCAAGAAACATACTCGTGCAAAGCATATATCACCAATAGTGGAAAGTAGTAAACTATAGTTTTTCCCAAAGTGGTATGAATTGGCTGGATAACTCAATGGGTACTGAACTGAGGATCCAGAGATCAGGAGTCCAGTTCCTTGCAATACCTTATCGGGGGAAAAAGCCTGCAGGTTGCACATTCTTGAGCAGGCTACAGAGTCCCAGTCTCCTTAGAAGGGAATGGTAAACCATTTCTAAGTACTGTACTCTGTACCTAGAAAACTCTGGAAAGCGTTGGCATACATCAAAATTCACTTGATGGCTTATTAGAGTGGTTCCCACTGTTCTTGGACTGCAATTCCCAGAAATCCCAGCAACATAGTTGGTAGTGAAAGCTTGTGGGAGCTGCCATCCAAGAACACCTGGGTTACCACTGGCTTTTAATAACAATACCGTATTTGCCGGCGTACAAGGCGACTGGCCATATAAGATGACCCCCAACATTTCCACTCAAAATATAGAGTGGACGGCTCTGCTGCGGCGCCAGCTGCCCGGGGCTCTGCCTGGGCCCGCCCTGGAAGTTCATGGCCGGTGGGGAGGAGGGCGAGGAAGAGGGGAAGAGGCTGCGCGCGGCAATGGTAGGAGGAAGAAGAAGGGAAGCGGGCAGGGGTGGGTGAGTGAGCGCGCAGCGGGCTCAGCGGCGCGGGGCAGCATGCAGCCTGGCGGCGGGCTCTGGCAGCTCAGGCATGGCAGGCTCTACTTCCCTCCCTCCATCCGGACCACCTGCCTGCCCGCCTGCCTTCCTCCCCAACCGCCTCGGCCCCGCGTCACTCACTCAATGGCGGCGGCGGCTCCTTCCTGGCCCAAATGAAGTGCACCCAGCGTACAAGACGACCCCCCCACTTGGAGGCATGTTTTTTGGGCCAAAAAAGTCGTCCTGTACACCAGCAAATATGGTAATTATTAAAGTAGTATTCCTATCATAACGAAAGAATCTACAAGCACAACACCATGCTGTCTGAAATCAGCTGGCAGAAGCGGCAAAAAAGAGGTGTAACAGGGGAGTAGTTCAGAGGAAATGTGTTATACCGCCACCTTTGCCCAACTCAGACTCACATCCACTTTGCTGGAATAAAAGTCACGCTAGGACAAGCCAGTTCTGAGTAATTTCCAACAAGCATGAGTGGGAAAGGTTTGCGTTCAATACAGCTTCAACTATTTCAGTGTCAGCCGACGGAATCCTCAATCATGTTAGTTAGAATTGAGCCCCAAGATAATAGAGGCGTGACTGAGCCAACAGTAGGCCAGCTGAAGCTATACTGAATGGATACCCTTTGGAGCTAGGGATATTGAAAATCACTTAGGAGCTAGTTTTGTGACATCATACTGGTTTTGTCTTAGCTGGAAAAGATTTAGACCTGGTTTAACCTATCTCTCTGCCTCTGGGTTTTGTTGTTGTTGTTGTTTTGCTCTTCTGCTGGCTGATGTTAGCTAGTTCAGCTAACATCAGCCAGTTAGATTCCTGTATCAAAAGATCTTTGATTAGCCAGCTGAAGGTAGTTCTGCCAACACAAGGGCATTTCTACTGGCCGCTGCAACAGAACAAGAGGCTTTTGACTATTCTAAAATGCCCATAGTCAGCACACTTGCATTAGTATTGCACTGTTAAAAACCTTAGTCACAAATGTAAAAATAGCATTAATGAGCCTAATTTTTTTAAGTTGGCAATGTAACAAATTTTTAACATTACTCTTGTAAAAAAGAAAAAAAAAGATATGGAAAAAGCAACAGATCCATCTAACTCAAGAGAAGCTCTCATTTAGGCTGATGTTTTAACTTATCAACATGTAATGTTGCCATAGCTCATACTGAATCTGAGAAAATTACAAAATTAGAATTAATGCAAACTTCTGCCAATACATTTCAACAATTAATTTCACAATCAGAAGTCTTACCAGATCAGCTACTCTACACAGGGCATCTGAAAGCTGATCAAACAATATTACTATCTCCTTTCCAGGAGGTGTAATACATGCTTGTTGTACTAGACGTTCTGCTTCTTGTAATGATTTTTCTTGAGCTTCTTGAAATCCTTCTGGACAAGTTAACTCTGGTACACCAAACAAACCCTAAAAGATAGAGAACAGGAGCAACATACAGTATATAACAAATGGATTACACATTGTGCTTTGTTTTACAGCAATGTATAAAGAACAACATTATTTAAGTCTGTCACACTACACCTACATAACTAGAAGTAAATCCCATGTATCTCTGTGTAGACATGCAAAGGCTGTGTTGTCATATACCCATGGTAAAAACAATTGATTGGATCAAGATTTAGACACAAGTAACTGGGCTGAAAATACCAGATTTCCAAAACCCACTCATCATGGCAGCTTCTCCTATACCCTGAACATGTTACACAGATGATCACAGCACCCTGCTGAATAAGGTGAACTGTAGTACAGGAATGGGGTCTCCAAAATTAGGCACAGGCATTTTCCATGAATAATACTTTTCTATTTAGAGAAGGTAGAACCCAGATTATGGCTTAAAATGTTTCCAGAATACTTGCTGCTATTTCTGGTTGATTTTTTCATTTCAATGAAATAAATACTTTTTTATTTGGATGGTTCAATTAATTTCCAAACATTTAAATCATAAGTCTAGCACTCACAGATTTGTATCTATTTATCAGAAGGAATTATTGATGGAATCTACTCCTAGTATGGGTACCAGCCAGTCAACTGCATCCTTTTAAGATACTACACCTCTCTATCCCTTCTTGTTGGATTTCAATTTGTATTGTTAAAATGCTTTTTGGTTTTTAAAGAAAGCTCTAGGTGATTAATTAAAGATCAAAAATCTTATTACGGAATAGGGACTTTACAGTCTAATTCTATATTATTCTATATTATTTTGGTTTTGGTTCATGTCCATGTCATCCAAAAACTGAGACTTAATAAACGAAACTCACATCACATGCATGTCAGGAAAGTTATAACAGTTGGAAGGTATGCTCTTATCCCTTTTATAGCTATACTGTACAACAAACAAACAATCTGCTTAGGAAGTTTTCACTCATACAAAGATGTAAAGAAATAAAGTCCATTGTTTCTTTGTTTTCCAAGGTGCTCTGCAAAAGGGTGCGTGGAAACCCTACTTTAAACCAGAGACTGATTTTTCACTGCAATCCAGAAATGTGGAAGAAACTGAGCAAGGAGAGCCAACTACTGTGACAGACTGTGCTGTGCAGTGGTCAGAGTAGTAGACTGGGATCAGAGAGGCTTAAGGGCTGCGTTGACTCCCACCAAAAGTGTATTTAGTCCAGCAATCTGTTCCAACAATGTCCAGCCAGACACCGAACATGTGTTCACCACTTTCCTTCTGCAAGTGGTACTGGCACGGTTTTGGTTTAAACCCTTGCTCAACCTTGCTCAAGCCGTCTTTGGGCTGAATCTACTTCACAGGGCTGTCGTGAAGTTAAGAATGGTGGTGGCAAAAACATCACGCATTTCTTTATTCCTTTGAAAGGAGAGCAGGACTAAACATAAAAGAAATGTTAAGGGGGGGGGATCTGCGCTTGTTCCATTATTCAGCTTTTGCATCCAGTGCTCCTGGGTTCGAATCGGAAAAAGATTCTGGACGTGAAAGGGAAGATTACGCTCGAAGCGCCGCCGAGCTCCGGGGTGACGGGTAAACGGAGGCTGCCTCTCACCGTTTTTCTCTCCCCTTCCCGCCGGCGCGGCTGCTGGTGCCGCGGCTGCACGTTGAAAGCAGCCCCCACCGGGGACCAGCTGGTGCTGACCCATCGCTTGGCAGCGGGCGTGCAGCCGCCGACCCGGCCCAGTCCCGCTCGCCTCAAGCCGCTCACGGTAGTCCGCGCCACCCGCCGCCAGCCAGCCAGCATAGCGGCGCCTGCTTGCCCGCCCGGCTTCTCCAGGCACGCGTCGGAGGGGGAAACGACACACAAACACTCTCGCACACAAACACAGGCAACCAGCCCGCCGCGGCCTCGCTTGTTCCGGCGACGGCTTCTGACGCGACTAGGCCGCGACGAAGGGTCTCGGCGGCACCTCTTCCCCGCCTTTCGTTCATCTTTTTACCTCAACATCGCCGTATGGGCTTGGGTGCTAAACGGCTTACCTCGGAGAGAGAGGGAGTCTCTCCGGTGTGACAAGGGTTTTTGTGTTTGCTCGGATACACTGTGTATATATTGTGTGTGTGCGCGCGCCTCTCTTTTTTGTCGCTGTTCTAGGCAATAAAAAATGTGTGTACGCGTGTGCCTGTGTAGGTAGGTGACGGTAATAAGTAGGGGTACAGAGCGACGTGTTAGGGCCGGCTGTAACAGAGGTTTGTGTGTGTGTGTCGTGGAAATGTGTGTGTTGGTGGGAATGAAAAGGTAGAAGGGAGCCTGAGGTATAAGTACCGCACTGGGGGCGGGGGGAGAGACTGGGACATCAATCGTTGTGCTGTGACTTCATTACCTGGAGCAAGGTGGCGATTTGAAATAGATCAGACAGGATTTCTGATTTCTTGGTGTCTGTAACAGTGTTATGTGTCGTCAAGTCACTTTCGACGTGCAGCAGCCCTAACAGAGTTTTGGGATATGTGAGATTTTTAAGGACTAATTTACCACTTCCATCTCCTAGTGGATATCTATGCATGAGCAGAAATTCAAACCAAGATCTCACCAATCCTATTCCAACACTTTTATCAGTTACACACCACACTGGCTCCCCTCTAACCATACGTGTGTGTTAATGTCTTCAGGTCGATCCTGAGTTAGGATGACCCTAAGACGCAGAGTCCCTGAGCACCCCCCAAGAAGAAGGAAATGGGAAACCAGTTTTGAGTACTGTATTCTGTATCTAAACCTGTTGCACAACTTTATGCCAGGTGAGGCGCAGTTTTGAGTACTGTACTGTATTCTGTATCTAAGCCTGTTGCACAACTTTATGCCAGGTGAGGCTGATGATGTCATCAGCCATGACCTTTTATCACCAATTAAAAGTTTCTGATTCCAGCTTTCAAAGTTCCCAAGAGATCCTTTTCATCATAGGGAAGCCTTTGGGGACCTCAGGATAAGGTTGAAGTCTTTAATGTCTGAAAAACCCTGCTGCCAGGGCCCCGAACCTCCTAGAGTCTGAAACTTAATTAGTGATGGAAGTCCACAGCTCATGACATCATTAGCCTTGTACAGCTCAAAGCTGTGCCACAGGATTCAACCAGTATTTATTTTGAAATGATTTGCTTTGCACCTGTTAAAACTGTTTTCATTTTTGTATCTGTTTCTTAACTTGTGCTTTTACCAATGTGAGTGAAACTACTTATCATTTTTTTTCAAATTCAGTCCTGACATATATTTTTCCATAATGGAGTTGTGAAACCTAGAGGGTATTTTCACCCCAATTTTTGGAAAGAGAAAAACTCACATTGTGACATGTGGCTTCTATCCTAAAAGTTGTTGTATGCTTGATTTCATTATCACTCAAGGCACAGGCCTTTGTACCTGAAAACAACTGTGGTAGCCCTGAGTAATCTTTAAAGGGATGTGTAGAAGGAAAGGATCCACAGAAAAGTAGATATAAGATATTGGTACACTTTTATTTGCTAGGAAAAGTTGAAGCAGCAGGAAGAGAGGAAAACAAAATATGAGGTGGATTGACTCCAGAAAGGAATCATAGCCTTGAGTTTGTAAGAGCTGAGCCTGTTAACAATAGGACATTTGGGAGATCACTCGTTCATAGGGTCACTATGTGTGTCAAAGGTGACTGATACAAAATCTGAGAGTAATAATTTGTCCTTGGAGTCACATAGTGGGTGAGATGGAGAACAACATCAGCCCAAGTTGCCAGGTCTTCATTTGAAATTAGGAAAATAAATTTTGCTAGATGCAAGGTCAAACCACAGGAACAGTCAGCTTGCATTTACAAGCGATGGCACTTTAATCCACCACTGATGCGATTCACTCAGAGATGTGCGCTTGTGAAATCAAACTACAGTGGTGCCTCATTTTACGATTGCCCCGCATTACGACGAATTTGCTTTATGACAATCTTTTTTGCGATCGCAAAACGATGGTCTAAATGGAATTTCGCTTTGCGATGATCGGTTCCCTGCTTCGGGAACCAATTATTCGCAAAACGATGTTTTTCTAACAGCTGATCGATGGTTTCAAAATGGCCACCGGGTAATTAAAATGGCTCCCTGCTGTGTTTAGGGACGGATTCCTCGCTATACAGGCAGGGAAAATGGCCGCCGTATGGAGGATCGCTGGACGGTGAGTTTTTACCCCATTGGAACGCATTGAACGGGTTTCAGTGCGTTTCAATGGGGTTTTTAATTTCGCTTTACAATGTTTTCGCTTAACCGATTTTCCTGGAATGGATTATCGTCATTAAGCGAGGCACCACTGTAGCAAATAAAACCCATGTTTATGGTCCAGAGAGCAATAATAAAACAGAACGCACCAGTTTGCAAATTGCTGAACTAAGAAAAGCTCATACTAAGATAGAAATATTTTGCCGCTCAAGAGGGAAGCACTTCTAAATGCAGAGTTAAGAGTCTTGTATAGTTTGGCTCTTAGTCATAACCAGACACGGATACATAAGTGCATTTGTGCTTTAACCCAGGGCTCAAATTATTTAGTAAAAGGTGTGATAGGCAGATCTGCTTAATTAAACAGAAAGACAACCACTTATTAATCCTAGAAGATAAAACCCCTATACACACCTTTGAAATTCTGAGTTTTATATAAGATATTACAAATAGAGATTTCATATAAATTGTGATGGACATTACCATAGATTTCAGATTTGTTCACAAAGCACACACTAGAAACAACACAAACAAAATACATTTTACCTTCAAGCTATATATGATTGTCAGGGAGTTGTAACTATGTCTTTTGTGAATTTTGTTTACATACCAAGCTTGATACAAAGATTAAGCAGTGGTCTATGCAACAGACATCATATTTTAAAAATAAATCTCATGTTCTGAAAAGTGGTATAGGTGCTAGTGTCTCTGAGGTACTAAATATAAGGAAGCCAGTGAAGACTGTGTCATCATCTGGGTCTGCATATAACCCATTAGAAGTCTCCCCTCCATAGGTCTCCAGCCATATCTGATCACGTTCCTGAAGCTCCAGGATGGTTGCTCCTGAGGCCTGATCTTCAGCACCTTGATATTTGTCTGCAGTATGGAGCATCCTGTACCCATTTTTAACCAGAGCGACTCGGACATTTTTTGCAAACACAGTAATGTGGTAGGTGAAATAATAGACACCTGTTATCCGGCATGTGAACACTCCCGTGGTGGGATTGTAATGATTTAAGCCATTATAGATCACTTTGTCAAACTTTATGGGAACATTTAATGGGGGAAACTTGGTGCTAAGACCTACACTGAAGGCACTTCTGGGAATGATGGGAACGCTGCCTAGGTTTCCCTTTTCCCCCCTGTCTCCCTTCCAGCCTATTTGTCCTTGATTTCCTTTACTGCCCTTCTGCCCTGGGTTTCCAATTTCTCCTTTTGGACCAACGGGGCCCATTGGTCCAATCGGACCCCTTATCCCTATTTCACCTTGGGCTCCAGTGTCACCTTTGATGCCTTTTGGGCCAACAGGGCCAATGTCCCCTTTTAAACCCTTTCTTCCTTGTAGTCCCAGCTCACCCTTTTGACCTTTTTCACCCAATGGTCCAGGTACTCCTTTAGGTCCAAATTTCCCAGGCCAGCCTCTCTCTCCTTTTTCTCCTTTGTTCCCTTTCTCTTCAACACTGCCATCAGCTCCTAAAAAGAAAGAGGAGGGGGGGATACAAAACCTTATGTTTAATTCCATGATAATTCCATGATTTATTGAACACATAAAGCCAAGAGAAAAAAATAGGCAGTTAGCATTCCGCAGTCCACACACATGATGTCAGTAGCAGATGAGTAAGTTGGGGATAGTGCAGTTCATTTTAGAGTCCCATGAGAAGGGCAAAGATTTTTTCCAGAGCTTCTTGATGCTTGCAACTTGTCAGAGGGAGAAAAGACAAAAAAAGGGATGAAGGTTTCCAGGACAGACATGGAAAAGTACCAGGAGAGGGGTCATAGTTCAATGGTAGAGTATATGGTTGCCGTGCAGGAAGTCCCTAGAATTTCCAGACAGGGCTGGAAAAACTATCTAAAATCCTGGAGAGTTCCCTATTGGTATCAAAAGTACAGGCCTGAAGGAACCAAGGTGATGCAATATAAGGCAGCTTCCTACTTAGCTGGTTGTACTCTGGTCATAATCTGTTTAGTGCATCTGGTGGGACATAGTGAACTCAACCTGTGTTCTTTGGACATGGATGCAAATCACATGCCCCTCCCAAGTCTAGGGTTTCATGTACAGTCGTGCCCTGCTTTACGACGAATACGCTTTATGACGATCTTTTTACGATCGCAAAACGATGGTCTAAATGGGGGAATTTTGCTTAGCGATGATCGGTTCCCTTTTTCTGGAACCGATTCTCGCTTTACGATGATCAAAACAGCTGATTGTCAGGTTTTCAAAATAGCTCCCCGCTGTGCTTAGGGACAGATTCTTTGCTATACAGGCACCGAAAATGGTCGCCGTATGGAGGATGTTCGCTGGACGGTGAGTTTTTACCCCATTGGAACGCATTGAATGGGTTTCGTTGTGTTTCAATGGGTTTTTTTATTTCGCTTTATGATGTTTTCGCTTAACTGATTTTCCTGGAACTGATTATCGTCGTTAAGCAAGGCACCACTGTATACTGAAAGATACTGCACTTGGGAGGTTCTGTTTTGGCAGAAGCTCCACAGTGCTGCTGGAATACCAGAGACACAGCCAATGGAACCTTTTTTGGTGGCTTGTTTCAAGCTTTTGAACTCCTTTCTAAAGGCGGCTGGGCTGGTCCCTACTGTATTTTACTTTTGCCAGCATGCCAAAACATTCTTATGCAGATGGGTTTTTGGCAAATGACTTGGTGCTAAGGAAGGGGCTTTGACCTTTTAAATTGGTTTGTGTGTGTGTGTGTGTGATAGTCGACTTGAATTTTAATACAGTGGTGCCTCGCACAACGAGTCGACTTGAATTTTTTGTATCTAGTTTTAATCTTGCTATACAAACCAACTTCTGTCTCCATTTCGGGAGAAAGGTTGGATAGATACAAAATGAGTTAAAAATAAATAGGTGAGAAAGATAGTGGTGGAAAACTCCAAATTTATTTATTTATGTATGTATTTATTTACTTACTTATTTACTTATGTATTTAATTTATACCCCGCCCCTCTAGACCATGTCTACTCGGGGCGGCTAATGCACTGATGGAGCTGGGGTGGAGTCCTGACTGGCACAGAGGAGGAACACACTAATACCATATTCTAAGTAACGTACCAGCATTGGCCTTGGAAAAATTAACTTCTCATATGTAACTCATTAGTTTGCTGTGAAGTGAATACTTCATTGTGTTGAATCATCAATTTTCAGTTTCTTAAAAATTGGTCTGATGGTATGCTTTATACTCTCTTATATCTATAAGTACCGTATCTTTATTAAAGCATATGATATAGTACAACTCAGCACCCAATCATAGCACAGCCCTGCTCACTCATAAAAACCCCACATAGTTTCAGCAAAACCAGTTTTTGCTCTTACCTGGTTCTCCTTTATTTCCACTTATGCCATCTATGCCTGGTTTTCCTGGATGTCCTGGTTCACCTAGCAGCAGAAAAGACATCATTAGTTCATCATTTAGAGAGCTGGGCTAAAACAGAAAAGGCTCGGTCCTTGTTCTCACCAATGCTGACAGGTGGGCCACAGAGCATGGCCCCTGATACTCAAAGAACTATGCTATGTATTCTTCACTGAGAAGTACTCATAGCACAGTCTGTGGCTCCGTCTGGTGGCCTGTTACGGTAGTACATGTGAAAATACTGTAGTTTTTTCTGGATCTTTTTCTTTTAGTATTTTTAATATTTTCAGACCGTGGATAAATGAAACTGGATACTGATCCCACGGATGCAGAGGTCTTACTGTACATGTAGTGTAGATGTACTCTTGGATATTCTTATATGGATGCAAGTAGACCTTTAGATAGTCTGGTACCAAACTTAGAGGCTTTAAAGATTTATTTATACAGAGTCAAAATTCTGAATCTTGAGGAATTCTTAAAGTCACTAGGTATCGCTTAAAGTAAAATATAGCTGGATGTGCAATTGAAAGTATAGCTTTGTTAAACTACCTCACAATTTAAAATGTAAAGAGTTAAGACTTAAATCATGAGGTAGCTTAATAAGACCATACCATGGAATGCACATCTAGCTATTTTTATTGATCTTGCACTGCTTCTGGTACATTATGATTTGGATCTCACAAATGAATTGGTAGAGTAGGATATGTGGTATCTGTCATTGCAAGGATGATCCCATCACAGAGGCAAGTGAATGAACTTTAGGTTCCATTTAATCCCTAAGGATTATTGATGACAGCATTATTTCCTTGTAATTTAAACAAGGAATGATGGTTTTATTACCCACTTTAAAATGTGATACCTGCATCTCCTTTTTCTCCCTTTGATCCATCACGTCCATCCCGTCCTGGTATGCCATTGTATCCAGGGTTCCCTGGTACTCCAGCAAACCTTTCAGCACAACTGTTTTCTCTTTGTATTTCATCTGTCTTGACAGCAGCAACCAGCAAAAGAAACCAGAGTTGCATCCTATCTGATATCAGCTGAAAGAATCAATATGTTTAAAAAAACAACCTTGGCAGTCTGCAAAATAAAGGCTCAGCTATCCTAAAATAAAGGTGTCATGCCGTGTCATTTTTATTTTCAAGTTTACTTGAAAATACAGGACAGTGCTTGGATAAAGAGGGACAAATTCATGCTCTTCATTTAAGAGCGTTATGGGGTGTAATGAGGGACATCCTGCAGTCGGAGCAGAAGAATATCTCCTATATTTCACCATTGGATAATGGCCACCTATGTGATCTATGCCATTTTCTGCCAGCCGTGCTGCATCTCTGCATTCCAGAAAGGACAGACAGGACAATTTCTTTAGGCCGCGCTATGGTACAGAGACGGCACTGGTCGCACTGCTGGATGACCTGTTGAGGGAGGCCGATGGGGGCAATGTGTCCTTGTTGGTCCTCCTTGACATCTCAGCTGCCTTTGATACCGTCGACCACGGTATCCTCCTGGGGAGGCTCTCGGAGTTGGGAGTTGGTGGCCTGGCACTTGCCTGGCTCCGCTCCTTCCTGGAGGACCGCCCCCAGAGAGTGCAGATTGGGGAGAATGTCTCGGCCCTGTGGAGTCTCAATTGTGGGGTTCCACAGCAGTCGATCATCTCCCCAATGCTGTTTAACATCTTCATGAGGCCGCTGGGCGGGGTCATCAGAGGGTGTGGGGCATCGTGTCACCAGTACGCTGATGACACAGCTCTACATCTCTTTTACTCCATCTTCAGTGGATGCCGTCCAGTCCCTCCAGCGCTGCCTGGACACCGTACTAGTTATGGGGTGTAATGAGGGGCAGCCTGCAGTCTGAGCAGAAGAGTATCTCACTCCTATATTTCACCCTTGGCCACCTATGTGATCTATGCCATCCTCTGCTAGCCGTGCTGCATCTCTGCATTCCAGAAAGGACAGACAGGACAATTTCTATGGCAGAGAAGAAAAATTAACAAACATCTGAGAACAGAAATGACAATATATAAAAACCAACATCAGAACATTTCACCTCCCAGTGTCAGGTCAGAGAATCTGATGCTTATACCTCTCCCTAAAGGTCCTACAGAAATTTATAAACTGCTAGGTAAAAATCACAAACCCGTGTTCATCATAATGGGCATTTGTCCCAAAAGAGTTCAGTCCAATATGACCTAGAGAAATATTTAGCATATTGTACAATTTACCCCTCCTGAATATTCTTTAACTTTTTTGCCCCATGCAAGACAGATAAACTGAATAACCAAGAAAATATGTCCTTTTCCTTTTGTTGAACAGGCATGTGCAAACAGATCTAAATGTGTTACATTTTTATCTATTGAATTTTATATTGAATATCCAAGGAACTCAACTGTAAAAACTGAATACAATGATTTAGGAATAGAACTATGAAAACATAATGAAGTAAATGAAAAATATATGTAACTAATATTAACAGTGTAATACTCCAATAAAAATTAATACGGTGCTTAAGAGTGAAATAATAAGACTGTGAATAAAGTGTTACAAATACTTAATAACAATAATAAGAAGTATTAAAAGGGCATACTTTCTAATTCGCTCTCAGTCAAGTTACATCTATGTAAATATTTTAGCATACTATGTAATAGTGTGGCCAGGTCAAAACCTTCCTGTTCCAGAAGGTTTTTAATTGAAATAATATCAGCTGTCGGTCCTGATGGCAATTTTTAGAGCACTGTATTTTTAAATGTATTATCTTTTATTGTATTCAAATTGTTGTAAGCTGCCCAGAGACCTTTGGGTAGTGTGAGTGATATATAAATTAAATAAATAAATAAAATAATTAAAAGACTAGAGCATAAGCAATTATAAAAATCACATGAGTGTATAATTAAAAAATCTTACTTCCTCAAGAGAATTTTCCCCCTTCTAACTGTGTTCTCCTGGCATCTTTTGCTCCTTCCTCTGGCTATCTTTTCTGGCTGTTATTTATACCCTTAGTCCCCTCTTAATCAGAAATTACCCTTTCTGCAGGGCCTGGAGATCCAAGGCCTGATGCACTGAGAAAAAATTTTTAAATAGCAATCTCTATTGTCCCTGCACTTCCTGTTACTACAAGGGTTTATAACTCAAAATTTGGCAGGCTGCCACTGTGACACTAACATCATTGTTTTGACTAAAATTTTGCAAAGCCTGGAGAAATAAAGGCCTATAAAATAAAGGCTGTGGAACTGCAAGGTACTATAACATCAAGGTGCTGTAGTTACAGAGAGTGCAAGTTATAGAACCTGTAAATACCACCTCCAGTCTTATTAACACATTGCAATTACCTTGTATGATACTAGAGAACTGTCAGATTGTTTTGCAGTGACGTAAGGAAATTATTATTCAGGCCTCATTTTTAAAAGCACTTTCATTTTTCAGGGATGCTTTTTCCACACACATCTCTTAATTATTTTAACTATACACACAAAAATTAACATCTTGACACCAGTCATTGATGTGGAAGTGGCTACTGTAAAGAAAAGAAAAATTTGAGAGGGAGACAGCTGAAATGGGTTAGATACATACATTTCAGTGTGCACCCAGAGGATTAAATAAAAAACAGGGCTGTTGATGCAAGGCTCAAAACTCTCTTGCATAGCAACATTATGCAAATGGCATAACTGGCAGCACCAAACTGTCCCAAGGTAAGAAATCATCGCAGACATCCGTTGCACAGTGAGCCACGCAAACCATTATGATAGTGTCTGTGGTGATGTCCTAATTTAAGGCAGTTGGCCTCAAAAATATGTAATTTTGGTGTAAGTAGGCAAGAAGATTTGGGCTTGTATACTGAATCTTAATTAACTGGTTTTCTCAGTCTTGGCTATAGCTACTGGCAAAAGCTTTTCTTTCACGTTACTTTAGCCTTAACACAACTTCCTGAAATCTGTGTCATTTTCATTTAAATTTCAAAGGCAGCAGTCTGCAGACATCAGTTGTACAGTGAGCCACGCAACTCATTATGCAACTGATAGTGTCTGTGGTGATGTCCTAATTTAAGGCAGTTTGCCTCAAAAATACGCCATTTTGTTATTCCAGTGTAAATAGGCAAGAAGATTTGGGCTTGTATACTGAATCTTAATTAACTGGTTTTTTCAGCAGTCTTGGCTATAGCTACAGGCAAAAGCTTTTCTTTCACATTGCTTTAACCTTAGCACAACTTCCTGTGTCATTTTCATTTAAATTTCAAAGGCAGCAGTCTTCTTCTTGTATCAGCTGACAAGCTGGTTGTTCTACCTTCCACCAGAATGCTTATGTAATAAATACTATCAATGTTCATTACCTGTGCCAATAATGCCATTATCACTTTGAAAGTTCATTAACAATGTTACTGAAGCAGCGACGTCTACATTGGCTGGGGCACGTCGTGAGAATGGCTGATGGCAAAAGCTTTTCTTTCACATTGCTTTAACCTTAGCACAACTTCCTGTGTCATTTTCATTTAAATTTCAAAGGCAGCAGTCTGCTTCTTGTATCAGCTGACAAGCTGGTTGTTCTACCTTCCACCAGAATGCTTATGTAATAAATACTATCAATGTTCATTACCTGTGCCAATATTGCCATTATCACTTTGAAAGTTCATTAACAATGTTAGTAATGTAATTGTCACTCTGCTTCCCGTTTCATTTGGTCCCCACCTCACGACCATGTACACTATATAAAACTGGGGCCTAAATAATGGACTCATGCGTGGAATTTGATTGAAATCCATGAAAAGCTCACACAGAAAGTAATCTGTCAGTGTTAAAGGTGCCACGATACTTTTGTTTTGATTTTATTTTGTTGGGAACAAGCACCATTTGCTTCAGGCCCCTTCCTAGTAAAGGTGTTACAAATGCTGGTAGATTTTCTTGTCCTTGATGGTAAAGGGTGACCCTGACTAAAAAAACTGCCGCATACAATGAGTATTTCACTTCTGCACAAAAATGAAAGCAACAGGTCTTTTTTTCCACCAGGAGCAGCATTAGTTAAAAGGGTGCGGGGGGGGGGACCGACGTTGTAATTTGTCAGAAACTGAAGGTATTTTATGCAAAATGTGCAACTTTTATGCAAAAATACTTCTGTAGCTTTTTGTCTGCAGAAAAGCAACATGGGAAAAATGTCCCCCCCCCCAACTTTTCACTGAGTGGTAAGAAAACTTTTGACATTTTTTATTCTCACCAGCAAGAACAAGGGAAGTAAAATTTTACATCCTTTCATTCCAGTTGTTTCTTTAAATGGAAATCCATAGTTCAGTGAAAAATACATGGTTTTTTAGCACAGTTTTCTAGTGCCTCTTGTAAAACCTGTAGTTTGAAGCTCTGGGAAGCTTTTCTAGTTATTTTAGACAATACAAATTGTCCAAAAGACAGCTACAGGTTTGACCCCCTATAGAGTCATTCTTCAAATTAACACACATAATTTGCATTCATGTCTTACCTTTTCCACCACTGCTGGTCAGCATACTGTTTTTGAGCATTTTTTACTTACAAACGAAGATTGTACAATATGTGAAAGCAAAACAAGGTGACTGTTCTAAGTTGGTTATTAAGTTCTAAATGCTGTTATTCAGTTGCTAGACATATTCAATGATTAATACAGAGGTTCATGGCAAGAGATTGATGAGGAAGGATTTCACCATTCAAATGTTAATCATCCCTGTACAATTTTTATGTTTTCCACCATGATTCCCAAAGTCCAAAGTCAGTAGCTGCACCATCATGTGGCTGTCCACTCTCTATTAGCCCCAAGTTATTCCATGTTAGCTGTATGGACTAATTCGCATGGAATGACTGCCTCTGTGTAGTGGGAGAAGGAAAATAAATTTCTGTGCCTCTTTGGGACACACAGTAAGAAGTTCCATGGCACTGCAACATGGAAGGGGCTCTCCTAAGTAGATGACATCAGAAGAATGTTGGGCAGCATAGTAAGAACATTAGAACTGCTTGAAGGCAACTGAAGGGACAGTACAGTGGTGCCCCACATAGTGATGATAATCTGTGCCAAAAAAATTGTCACTATCCGGATTCGTTGCTATGCGGGGGGGGGAACCCATAGGAACGCATTAAAACACGTTTAATGCGTTCCTATGGGGAAAACACACCGCTATGCGGAAATCCTCCATCCAGCTGCCATTTTCACTGCCCGGTAAACGAGGAAAGGGCGCGAAAACACTGCGGGCGGCCATTTTTCTGGCGGCCATTTTGGAACCGCCAATCAGCTGTTTGAAAAACATCGTTATGCGATAATCAGTAAGCGAAATGCTTACCGATCATCGCAAAGCGATGTTTACCCATTGAAAACATCGTTATATGATCGCTTTTGCGATTGCACAAACCTCATCGCTATGCGGATTCATCATTAAACGGTGCGCTGGTTAAGCGAGGCACCACTGTATTCAAATAGCAGTAGGCAAAATGCCTGTGGAGGCCAGCGGAGAGCATGGGGTCCCTGCCATGCAAACCTTTAGAGATCACACTGGTCAGAAAGGCAGCAAGGTACTCCTTGCTTCTGCAGCAGGAATAGAGCATCAACTGTAGTTCCAGTTCCACTTTGTGATTGGACCGTACAGTTACCCAATCTATTCATTGTCATTTCTTATTTTTCATTTCCAGTTATTTTCACTAAAAGGCCCATAGCAAGTTTATCCACCAGTGTTTTCCAGTTCTGTTAGACTATAACTCTAACCATACCCAGTCAGCATCTCCGTTGGTAGTGCAAACTGGAGAATGGGAGTTGTACTCCAAAATAGTTGGGTGGTGTTTGTGAGGTCGGCAGAGATGCCTCTGGTGGGCTGTCTAGCCGCAGCCCAAGGCCCCAGGATCATGCTGTGCCTGCTTTACTGGGGGAGATAGCAAAGTAGACCTTGGTTGCAGAATATTGCAACTCAGCCTGAAGTTTTTCCACATGAAATAATGGATGAGGCCCAAGTGTTGGCATGCGTCCTGCAGGAAGATACAACGCAAACAGACCCTTCCCACCAAAACTCCAGGGACTGCAACTGGCCCTGCCTCAATTGAGTGCCCTCTAAAGGAGGGGGCAAGGGGACCAAGGCAGTTGAGGTCTGGGAGATATAAAAGTGACACTGGAGGAGATGACAAGAAAGTGTATTTAGAAGGAATTAGAGGTGGCACCACACCAGATAGTGGAGGGGGAAGGAACTTGGGGAGACACATAAGAGAAGTTGGGGAAGTTGTTACAGGATGAGGAGGTCAATGGAGAACAACCAGAGTCCCTTGGGAAATGGGATTGTTATAAAGGAAGTTTCCTGGACCAGGAGCTGGTTGAACGGAGGGTCTTTAAAGACAAGGGACCCAAACATCAATACCTTCCTCATCCTCATTATTGGGGTGAGAAATGCCAAAGGCCCAGTCTTCAAACATCTTGCCGAGCTGGTGAACGTGATCTAACAGCAACCAAGCTGCAGCACTGGAGGCATCAATGCCATAAAGCTGATTTGCATGGCCTCCGGGAGAAATAATAGCTGGAGGGATCCCAGTGCATAGCAACAGGGCCACAGATACACATCCCTTGCCCTCAATACGGACAGATAGTGCCTTCCTTCTACAGGGCCTCAAGCTTCACAGGTACCTGGCATCTACCATTAAAGAGAACTGTTCCTTTATTTCTTTCAGAGATTTGGCCTGTGACTGAAAAGTTCATGAAAAATCTAACATCTTTCTAAAATTCACACTGAAAAAAAGCAAGTAGGAGATCAAAGCAAGAGATTTATACCACCAGAATCTGTGGGACAACATATTCTCACCTTCCAGGAAACTAAGGAATTAATGAATAAATAATTTGTCTAATAATTTTTCAGAGCATAGAAGAGATTGAGTAGAATACATGGGCTTCTTGTAGTTGTTTTAACCATTGTAGTTACTTAGAAATGAAATTGCAGATTACTGTACTAGGACAATACTTTTTATCTAGTCAACTCAAAGGTAATTAAATAGCATGCAGGCTTCTGAGTTTTCCAGAACTTTGTCAGGAAAGGTGGGTTTAAAAAGGGAAAGCAAATGGGAACGAGAGTTCAGAGGGCCGATAGTGAATCCATATCTTTAATACGCAAGGCAAAAGGAAAACCGTAGACATTCAGCATAGACTATAGCAGGTGCTGTAATGTTTTGTGTTGCATGAAGCACCACTGGGTTGAAGAGATAATAGATAGACAATAGAATATAAAATTCATTTGTTACTGAGAATTACAGTAGGACCATGGTATCTGCAGGGGGTTGGTTCCAAAGCACACACACCCCATGGGTGCAGGAAAGAGCCAATATAAAACCTATATATAGCATAGTCTCTGGTTCCCTCTGCAGTCAGCCCTCGACTTACGAACTTAATCAGTTCTGGAAGGAAGTTTGTAAGTCAAAAAGTTTGTAACTCGAATTAGCATTTCCATAGGAATGCATTGAAAACCTATTAATCTGTTCCGGCTGTTTTTGGTTCTTAGGTCGAGGGGCGGTTTGGAAGTCGAAGCATTAGTTCCCATAGGAACTAATGCAAAGCTGGTAAATCCGTTCCTACCACTAGGAGCAGATTTTTTTTTCTTTTTTAACCTAAGATGGCGTAGGTTAAAAAAAAAGGCAGGAAACCACGGAGGGAAGGAATGAACACTGTTTAAAAAGAAGACTTTTTAATCAAGCACCTTTTACACCAAAACGGGCACCTTTTCAACCAAGCACCTTTTAAATCAAAACAAGCAGCCTTTAAAGCAACCAAGCAAGTTTTTACCCAAGCAGGTTTTATAACGCAAACCGAGCTCCCTTTTACCCAAGCACCATTTAACCCAAACAAAGCACCTTTTAAACTAAATTTTACATTTAAAAATGACAATGCCAGGCAGTCCCAGGTCTCTCTTCCCACTCTCTAACTGATTGGACGAGTGAGAAAGCAGACAAGAAGCCTCTTCGCTAACTGAAAGTTCAAATTTCCCGCTTTCCCTGCGTTCCCTGCACTTTTTTCCCATTTGTAACTTGAATCCAAGTTCGCAAATCAGGTCCATATTTTCCTATCAGAGCAGTTCGTTAAGTCGAAATGCTCGTACGTAGGGCCGTTGGTAAGTCGAGGGTTGACTGTAGTGGCCAGTTCTGGTGATACACCTTGGAATAGGGTTGCCAGACGTCCGACAAAAGGAGGACATGTCCTACTTTTCAGGATCATGTCCTCCGTCCGGCAAGCAAGACTGAAAAACTTTAAAATGTCCGGTTTTTGTATCTCCCCCCCACCCGTCCCTCTCCCCCACCCCCTGCAGCCCAACCGCTCCCTGTTACTTCCTTGGTTGAGGCACTTGTAAATCCTCTCGTTCTTTCATAGATCGGAGATAAGCTGGCTTGATTGTTTAGGGCTGCAGCCCTGGGTAATCAATCCCCGGCTTGTGGATGGCTGCTTCTGCCTGGAGTTGAATAAGGCAGGAAGGTGCGAGAGAGATGGATGGAAACCTGGACAGGAGTGAAGTGAGTGCACTTGCTTGCCTGCTGGAGGGGAGGCTGTTCTGGGGTTTGGGGTGGTGGTGGTTCAAAGCCAGGGAAATAGGGGTCGGGCTAAAGCCGGGGAACAGGAGGCACTTTTATCTCCCCCTTCTGCCCTGACCCCCCCAACCCTGGGGCATGTGCAGAGTGGGTTTCCAGGTCCAGGAGCATATGCAGAGTTATCCCCTATGTTTGTGGGAGCTGGAACATACACACACACACAAGCGGATTTCTCTCAGCTTGAGAAATTGCAAAGGGTGGAATGGCTTTGTCTGTCTGTCTGTCTGTTTGTCTGTCTGTCTGTCTGTCTGCAAATCCATTTTCTCCACCCTTTGCATTTCTCAAGCTGAGAGAAATCCACGCCTTCTATTTTTTTACTGGTTTTTATAAAGTATTTCAAATCTGTCACACAACTTTTTAAACTTTTTATTTCACTTTATTATGCTTTTATTAAAATAAAAAAATCAATAAATAAAACAAGGGGATGGGTCTCCATTAAAGGAAGGAATAGATTGTCTCCATTGCTCCTGGGAGCCCAGTAAGTGTATATGTAGATTTGTTTTGTTTTCGTTTTTAAACAATTTTAAAAATACGAAAACACAGTGGCCAGTGGATTCTGAGTTTTGTAGTCCAAAAAATGTAACTTTCCCAGTCTTAACCTTTCAAGACCGAGTAGGTTGAATGGTTAAGGTATTGCCCCATGATCAAAGAACTATTCTCCCCAATACCTAATTCCAAAAGTGACATTTTTTTTTCTAGTGGCAAAGCCGGAGATAATTTTCAATTGTGTAACATGTAAATACAGTGGACCCTCTACTTAAGGAATTAATCCCTATTGGAATGGTGGCTGCAAGTCGAAAAGTCTGTAAGTCGAATCTCCATTGACCTACAATGCACTGAAAACCGATTAATCCCATAACCAGTGGTTTTTATTCTATTTTTATTCCATTTTGGTTTTTTTCTGGTCTGTAAGTCGATTCTCTGGCTGCAAGTCGAATCTAAATTTTGCAGCCAGAGAAGTCTGTAACTCGAAAAGTCTG